CCCCAAATTAATTTTTCCCTTTAACAGTTAACTTCCTTTTTTGCTGGTGAAGATTTTATTTTCCACCAAAAACACGAGGCCTTCGCGATTTTTTGGCTTTCGAGTCTTGCCCTTCTCCACCCATCTCCTCAAAACTGTCTCTTGAAGAATGGCAAAAATGAAGTTAGCTTAGAATCTGAGATAAGCTCTCTAAAATATGAGGTCAAAGGTACCCAAACCCCTAACCTTCTGGCGCGAATCTGGCTACGTCAATTTTGTTACTTTTCGTATAGTAATTTTTGATAAGTTTAAGAGAGTTGCCATCCTGGGAACGCCTTCCATTCGTATACAGAGTTTGCGTCACGCTTCTATTTACGTTTAGAGAGATATATTTGAGCAAACACTATCAGATTTTTTTTAAAATTTCAAATAGCAGAGGTGATATTATGACGGCGTCCTCCGAGCAGAAAGTTACAGGGGAAAAGACAATTTTTTTCTAAAGTATCAGTTAACTGTTCGCCTGCATATTTTTTGCCATATAGTTGACAGCTATAATGTTGTATGGAATAATAAGAAATCACTTAAAATAATCTAATCAAGAAGTATTCTATACTCCAGATAAATACCAAGAGAAATTTTTAAAAGAAAATGGAACTTCCATAGGGTGCAGTTATTTATTGATCTTTCCCAGACCCACCAACAATATCAGTAATTTTCTGTCTCGTTTTTTCTGCTCCCTTTTGATGTTTCGCTTTCGTCTTTCTGTATTTTCCACTTTTGTGTACGCATTTTCAAAATGTAAATGCTGAGACCCATACTGCACTATAGCGATTCTTCTTCTGTGCTAATAAAACGAATTTTAAAAATTTCTAGATTTTTTGTCACTTACATTGTGCTGAAAATATTGGGAAATAATAGTGCTGAACGCCTTATTGCCAATATTAACCGTATGTGTCATCAAAGTTGGCGATTTACTGGAAAAACATTAAAAATACAAAAAGCAGGTTTTATTTTTTTTTGTTCAGTGTTCAACTGTATCTAACAGAATACAAGAAAAGGTGTAGCAGTAACCAAAAAAAAAACAAGGTTCAATGACTTTTTAATTTCTTATCTGTTTCATTTTTTCTTTTCAAAAGCCAATGAGCCATCCGAACAATAAATTGAATATGCTTATCTAAAAAAAATCTCAATTGCGGACGAAAATTTTGCCGTACTCGTGAACATAAAATTTTAGCTTTCATATCTGCCCTGAATGCTTATTCTACAAATGCTACTTTTCGCCTGTTATCTTTTCTCTACTCTTCTAAATGCATCAACGGAGACAAATGATAACAAAAACGAAAAGGTTACAAAATAAAACTTACTGTCACGGAAAAAAAAGTAACTTTCCACTGAAGTCTTAGAAAATAAAATGATAAAGCATAATAGCTGTTAGTTTCTTTTTACTGTAATAGACTTTAATAGAATCATACAACAACCAAAAAGCACTAGCAACTTTAGCACTGCTAAAAAAAAACATCTAGTATTCTTTTGTACAGCTTTTTGATCGGAAAAATGCCCGAAAATGTTAGATGAGGATAAAAAGGCTCGTTGTCGACGGCAGCATGATGCGCCTTCTGTAGAAAACCTCACTGCAGAGAAACCGTCCAAAAACAGTAAATTAGACTACAGAAACCTCCAAAAGAGTTCCTCTCCCGCTTCCTCTTCCAAAGCAATACCAATGTAGATGTGAGCATAGGTAGTAGTAGAAGTAGAAATAACTTCAAAATAATAACGCTTCTGCTGTAAACACATCTCAACTAGAGCCCCACGTCACTAATACTTCTGCAAATTACTCAGCTAAAGCGTCAGTGAGTGTCATTTCCAGTCACGACGCGTCCAGAGATTCCCCACCAAAAGATCCCTCCAATGTCGCATTATCTCATACAAATTGAGTCCTCCAAAAGCTTCCAAAGTATATCAAAACTTTATGTGTATCAAGTTTGAAACTATAAATGAAAGGAAAGAACAGCTAGTGCACTTTACAAGGAAGAGTAATTCACAACAGATGTCTAAACTCCTACCAAATGCAACAGATCATACTTTAATAAATGCTCCCTTTCATTCGCCGCACTGGACGCTCAACTTGCTTTTGGAGACGGCCAAAGTAAAGGGGTATTTCCTCAGCAGTTCACACTTTTGTCTCTATAAATTAACCTACTGGTAGTGACACACAAATTTGCTGGCAATTACTAACAGATGCAGAAGCTATTCTAAACTACAGGTAAACAAAATTTCAAGTTCCCTACTCCAAGCAGCAACCAAACGTCCACCTGCTAAACAATGCTTATCAACAAAAAATTCGCAACATATTTCATGTAAACCGCTCAGAGGTAAAAGAGCTAGGTCTCAAGTATAATATGACGTAAAATGCTAATACGGCGTACAGAAACTTAAATAAAAAGAACTCAGCCTTCTGAACAAAGAATAAAAAATTTTAAGCAACAACGCAGGGTTGATAAAATACTCAAGCACCAAATTACCTACAAAAAAAATTATGACAGAGCACAATTAGCCGTTAAGATTATTTGTTCAACAAACTATAGAACAGGCATTATTCTATCAGAATATGAAATCTATCGGTCCGATTCCAGCTGAAACAATACAAACAAATTATAATTCTGACGGCTCGGAAGAAAAAGTAGACAATGTTTGCTGGTTCCGTAATGTAACATAACTTAAATTATACACTGCAGCATATACAAAGTAATAATATTGAAAAATATATAAACCATCATTTTACGACGTATTCTCATCTCTTTTCACCCTATGAAGTAACTGAGCCTCTCCTTCTTTTGTGTCACCCAATACTTCTGAAACCAGTGGGTTTTCCAAAAAAACGCCTTCCGCTTCTGGAGTCGCCTTCTTCAGAGTCAGCTCTGCAGTAGTATGAGAGCCATCAAATCCTACCTCTGGTAGTAAGCTAACTTTATTGCTGTCAGAGCGTTCTTGTTTGGCAGAAGCAGTCTCATTTTCAATACTTTCGTCTTCCTCCTTATGATCGGGCAACCTCGTTACGTGCTACAAAGATATAAAAAGATAATTACAGAAAGAAATTTAAAATCACAAAACAAGTAATGCAGCAATCCTCTCAAATGAAGTTTGTAAAATCTAAATTTTTTTTCACTGGAAGCAATGTGCAAAAATTTTGTGATGAAGTAGCGACAAAATGATAGAAAAGATGAAGAAGATTTGAATCACGACAAAGGCTCTGAAGACCACGTACTGCAAGGTGGCAGCATCGTGAAAAACCACACTGTTAATACATCTACGTAGATAACTTCTTTTGAAATAAGATACAATGAGAGAATAAGTTAGTCAGATTAGCCGCAAAGTATGAACCTTCATCTTCGCATTTAGACTTGGTGTTTTGATTTTATTGTATTACAAATTAAAATTCAAAGCCCAAAAAATCTACACAAAAAACTTCCACCACAGTTTTTTCTTTGCATCAAAGAAAGAACCAAGAAAAAAGGCCTGAAATTAAACCCTTAACAACAGCGATGAAACAAAAACAGTTGCATCCTTATGTGTTCTAAAACCATTCTTCGGCCTTGTAATAATCTTTATAAAAAGAACCCTACCCTCTGCTTGCCATTCTCAGCTTCAGGGTCCGGAGGCCTTACGCCAACTGAAGTTTTCCTAGACAACCAATCGTAGTAACGCTTTTGATGTTGTACAACCAGTTTATGTGGAACCTGAAGAGAATGTGAGGCTACAGCCGCTGTCTTGTTAAACAACTCGCCGACAAATACAAAAAAAACAAAAACGTGTCCCACTTTGAAAATTAACTCGGTTTTGCTTCCAAAAAGTCGTTGGCATAAACCCCAATAAGACGTACCTTGGAACGTTTTAAACCACCATCCCAGTCTAATTCGATCAATCCTCCTTTCTTTGCAATTGCCTTCTTCACCCGCAGTGCGAACTGAATAGAATCTTCATTTTCCTAAAAAAAACTATCAGTAAAGACTTCACACAACTGACATAACGGGGAACAAAACTAGGAGAAATCTTTAATAAAGCAGCTGTAGACGTTAACGTTCTCGACAATTTTATTTAGTCTTTCCCGTTAAATAAAGCCAGGTCAAAAACAGGAGTGAAAAAGGACTTCAAATTCAGTCAACTTCAAACCAGTTCTGAACTGTCGTTCACCTAACATCTAGATTCCTCTCAAACCCAGTTTTTTTCCCGCGTTCTCGCAAATCCTGAATTTTTCTTGAGACTTCTGCTGAGTTTTAGAAATAAGTGCTCTTTTTTTCTGCCAGAAAAGCATTGCTAAAAGCGATAGTGAATTGAAAATACTGTCATTCGTTCTAGTTAAAAACTGACCAGTCGGCGCATTGGAGGTAAGTACCATACATCACATATAATAGCCCATGATGTCATCATTCTGAAAAGGTATTCGCCATAAGACTGCTCACTGCTATTCCAAAAGGCATCCCCAAGCCTTGCGTCATACTTCATTGCAATAGGATAGACAACTTCACCGACCTACATAAATCCAGGTTCAAACATTTATTTATAAACCGTGATTTCAAACTCGCCGAGCTTATCCTGCATTTAAATTTGTAAAAAAAACACTGAAAATACCAAAAAAACTCACTGCCGTCGCTTCCTCACTGCGAAAGAAAATAATGCTTCGACTTGAAAAAATTAACTTTATAAATCTGAATCTCACATATGACAAAAAAGCATTTCACTGCAACAATCATTAGTAAAACAAGCATTGATAACCATAAAAAAATAGAAAACTTGCCTCAAAAGCTCCTTTCTTGAACATCATTACTGATGTATTGTTAATGCAAGTGCCTTCAGGAAATATAATAATTGGAGACCTGGATTCATCCATATGTTCCTTAAGCCTTAAATTAATGATTCAGTTTGAAGTGCAAATAGGTTACTAGCAGTTGAATATTGGGGAATAAGTGTATAAAACCACTGTACAAAATTTACTTGTCATGAGGAATATGGAGTTTAAAAAGAAATTTTCAAACTATGATAAAAAACTGAAAACTTGCTTCTGTATTACTTTGGCTCGATCATTTGCTTCAGTACGTTCAAACCAGATATGGTCTCCAGTCCGACTAAGAGTCGTTTGAAGAAATCCTAAACTTTACTGGTAGGTACTTTTAGTCATTGGGATTTCATTTATTTTTTACAGCGTTACTAGCACAGAAATTTGCAAGAACCGAACGCTTCATATCTTAGGTTGAAACAGCTCCAATAGACACTAAACTAGCACCTAAGAACCCGCCCTGCCGTTGGCCCACCATGGCATAATTATTGTCACAGCTAAGAATCATCACATCAATAGGTGAAGTATGATTAGCAACACAAATCCCTCCATGTTCTGCTCGATTCTCGCTGAAAAAATAAAGTTTTCAAGAACAAAAGAAACGTCAAAAAGCAAAATCAGGAAGCACTAGACATTGAGAGTTTGGGCTCGGAAATGAAAATTTTATCATAGAGGAGATCATTTCATGTTGGTCCACACCGTTCCTCAATCAACATTCCAGATTTTTTTTAACTTTTAGCAGACAGTATACCATGAACTATAGAAATCACATTTTCTTCAAACCACTGTAAAAATTTCTAGGCCGTAAAGACAAATAAGGTTATAGACTTCCAAAACGTGCCTGACTGTACCAAAGTCTAGAGAATTTCCGTAATTTTATAGGCCATAAGCTGGCCAAAGACATTTTTGTGGAACAAGGCTTTAGGTTTCGCAACCTCAGGACCGTTCTCTGGTGACTGCATAGAGTTAAATGAATGAGATATTTATTAAGAAACCACGTGATCCAGCGTAGAATGATTTAAAAACAGCTGCGTAAAAGCCACTACGAACACTCACCTGTTGTGTACACGAATAATAGTTGAAAAAGTTCTGCACATAATCCGCATGCAAATAGGCATAGCATTCTCGCTTAGCCATTTTTTAACTCTGAAAGATAATGCTGTAACTTACTTCACGCGTCGAAAAAAAACATTTTAATTAATTTATATAATCAAAAGATTGCAAACCAAAGACATACCTGCTATTTTTACACTTTTCACTCAAGTAAGTAACAATAAGAAGTACTGATATACCAACTACAAAAAGAGTGCAACGAACAGGCAGCAAAATTAGGTAGCGAATAAGAAATCCAGTAAACCAAAGAGCGGTCAATTTTTTACTGAAATGAACTTGTTTTAGAATAATTGGTAATTAGACTCACTAGGTTATACTGTAAAATGAATACCTAATGTGTTGAAAGCCAAAACATGTTCTCGTTAGTAAATTCCAAGACGGTAACTGTTCCGCCTTAAACCTGCTCGTTACTTGATCCTCAATGATGGATTCCACACCAGCCTGAAAGAATAGAAATAAATTTGCTTCAAGTGATTTCAGGAGTGTAATTTGGAAAACTCGATATCTAAATTCGAATTGTCTATGGCATTGGTTGAAATCACCGAAGTATTGAGAAAAAAAGAAAAAAATTAATATTTGAAATCTGTTGGCAACTTTCTAGTCACAAAAATGAAAAAAAGCGTACTACCTGTAGATGACAAAGGATTAAATCTAGCGTTAGCTTTGCAAAGCGAAACAAAGAGATACGAGAATTAAGCGGTTAGAAAAAAAGTAACTTAAAAAAATAAAAAAGCAAACATTTCTTTACGTATTCCAATTACAGAAAAAGGGAGCGATAACCACAGCACACTGAGAAAACATGAAACTCACTGTTATGAAATCGAAAGAATCATCAACTACGAGCTTCACCGTACTTATTTTCTGTTCAGAATCGGAAACATTCCTTAATTTCTGCTCAATCGACTCTGTCTTATCATGCATAATTATGCCTACAAATAATGAAAGTGTCGGATTAAAAAGGAGCTAAAAGAACATTAACTGTCATGAATAAAAGCATGTAGTTTCTTTCATGTCAATTTAAATATGAAAAAACTTTGGGCTCCAAAAAAATGTAACGACTCGAACGTTTTGTAGCTCATAAAGGAAGAAGTTTAAAAACAGATATGCCTATCGAATTAACCTACTGTTAGCTTCCGAATGGCTGCGAGGTCGGTTTGGCGAATTCGGATGCTGAACTTCATGATTGCCACTATCGGACTCGCCCTGAGAATCCTGTTGCCTTGAGCCCCACTAAAATAAAACACATAAGCGAAAAGCGTTTGAAAAATGAATACATTAATAATGATAAAAATCACACTTTTAAAAAAAAATAAAAATCTCGTCATAAACTTCTAAAAAATTCTTTTTTTTCATTATCAGTGAGAAAAAAGAAATTTATTTCCTTTTTTGGATTTTTTGTGATTTTTAACAACGTGTTTTACAAAAGATTAACGTTTTTTGAAAAAAATCTTTTTTTTTTCAAACTTAGGTATATTGTGTTGCATAAATTCCAAACGACTCATGAAAGTTTTGACAAGGAAATGTACTTCAAAAATAGCCAGAAGAACTTCAACCAAAATCTCCCGGAATCCCAGTGATTTGTTTACAGCAGCCAAGTATATTAGCAGGATAATTATCCCAGCGAACAAAGTTAATATCATGTTCTGCAATACCATCGAAAATAAGTAGATTCAGATGTTGTAGTTAAAAAAAAAAAAACGACAAAGCAAGAAAAGCAAAGTTACGATAAACAAACGTATGTAAAAACTACTGATTTTTGCAAACTGCAATGCTTGCAAAAATTTTGAAATAAAAAGCTCATTCCTAGCGGAAAAAGGTAGACAAATGTAAAATGACATGCAAAATCTCTGAATGTTAACAAACACCAATATTCTGCAAGGTAATAAGAAGAAGGCCCACGAAATTAACGATACAAATGAAATCTGAATGCGAAGAAAAATGGAGGCAATTGATAGAAAAACCAAAATAACTTGCTTATTCGACCTGGTAGTCCAAAGAAAAAAAATAAAGTTTTTTAAACAGTAATCAATAAACCGACCTGTGAACAGAACGTCAGGTACAACTAAATAAATAACAGGCCAGTCTAAGCTGCAAACAAATCAAGTGATGAACAAAAAACAAATATTCTGATTCAGTGTAACGCTAACAAAACTTGTCAAGGAACAATAAAATTGTGCAATAAACTACCTAACGACTACGACAATGGATGCTAACTAAAATATTCCTTAACCCACCAATTATGTTTGCCTAAAAGCAACTCATATCAAAACTTACGCAAACGATACTTTCTTCAGACGCTTAAAAGACCCATTTTTACATCAAAAAACCATAAGCTGCGTTGTCGGCGATTCCGTGTGGCATATGTTTCTGGGTGTGTAACTTCTGATTATGGGCTTCAATAATGGCCGGAAGTTTCTGTGAATAACCGTGTTTACTGGTTTAATTATTGGTGTTCCAAAATAGCGCATAACTATAGACGAACAATATTCTACAACGCTTCTCAATAATCATAAGGTCATCAACAGAAAATATCAATCAATAAGAGCATAACGTAGACATGTACACAGAAGGGTACGTATTAGAAATATCGAAAACTGTTTTCTCAGAATATAAACACAGCACCTGTGATGCCTCTAGTTGCACTTTTTAGGCTACGTTCAAGCAACCACTTCATACCCCCTATAATAACAACTGTTCAACCGGTGAAACTTAATGCATCGCCAAAGACGCAATTGCAATAACTATTGTTAATATTTCCTGTTTGCCAAATGGTCTCAGCAAACAGTGGCAGCAGTTCTACTTTTGTCTTTCATTAACAGATTTTGCTCATAATTCTCACAAATTGCTTCTATCAGGTACTTTTTTTCTTCCTCAAGATACTGATCAACACAGTGACCGCTGCAGCAGTCAGTACTTAAGCACTGTCAACATCCTCGAAACGCCAACTGATTTGCTGCTGCTCAAAATTCAAACATCTGAAACAAAGAGAGCCTTTTTACTTTAAGGATGTCACATGTAACTCGCAACCTAAACACGACTGTTAACCTCCTGGCTTAATCGGCGGAGAATTTGAATTTTTTGATATTTGAATGCTGTGAGCTAGAGGTCAAATAAACAACCTAACAGAAGCACTCTTTTTAGCGTATCTGCTTAATTTTGGTGGGAATCAAAATTAATTACCTGAAGTTGATTGCTGATACTGGGAACTTTTCATATTAAGCCAATTGTTGGGGGTTAGAAAAATCCCTGTAAAGCTCACTTCATTCCACTCACTTTTGGCTCTTCTTCATCTGAGGGATCAATGAAAGATGGTAATTACGGAATAATAAAAATTATATGAAAGAAGTTTAGCCTCAAATGCGTAAACTTCCATGCCACTGACAATTTTTAGAGCGATCCCAATCATTTTTAAGTCATTTTAACACCTTGAAGCCTGCTCCTTCAAATTTGTCTTGGCAGTTTAACAATTTTCAGTACGCTTTGTAAAATGGATTAGAGACACCGTATATTGACTTGGTCTTTCACCAATTTATAAAAGTTCTGGTTTAAATTTTCCGCCCCTTCTTGATGACTAAACAATAAAGTTATAGCTTCAGTTGGTGCAGATTCCTTTTGCCACAGGATAGGGATATTAATCTGTGCGACAGGAGAAACAGTTTCTGAGGTTCTTCTGATTCTAAAGAGATCAGTAGTAACCAATATCTATTCGGTACAGTTGTTGAAGCTGTAATCTAACCGTTTCACCAAAGTCATATTCATATGTCGAAAAATGTGTAAACTACTCTAGTTTTTTTAAGCTGGAATAAGAAACTTCCATCAGTAACTGCGCTGCCAGACTGCAGCATGCAATTCTGTAGGAAAATTCTGCACATCGGCTATAAAGAAATATTACTGCAAAAAGCGCTAGGAGCACCGTCATCGAACGGTCTTTATCACCTTTCGACTGCAGTAGATGCTTGTTCTTGATTTCTAGGTCCCTGACCAAAACACTTACCCACAACTGTAGGGACTCATAATTGAGAAAAAATTGGAGCGAAAAAAATTTTTTGAAATGACATTTGAAGTTTTGGGAAATTTAAAATGAGGGACGACGTCTCGGAGGACCTTTTTCTTTTATTATATTAAAAGATATTTTTGATATTGGGAGAGGAGAATAGAGCATGTTTTGTTGACAGGCAACACCAACACAGCTTCAAATGAGCTGGTATTCGACGTCAAGAATTACTTAGTTTCCAAGACCGAATTAGCTAGGTAGGATATTAGAATAGAAAATGACTTATAGAGGTGATGTTACGAATGATACTAAGCAATCCGTCTAGAAATCAGGATGGCTTTTGGACGTAAGAAGGAACTTGACAAGCATGTAAAAGTTTGAGTTGTAGTGGTTTTGAAAGGTTCTTCAAAAAAATAAAGTTTTGTGTAATTTTCTGCTCAGCTTGAGTAAATAGTTATTAATTTGCGTACCAAAATTAATGTAAAATGTTCTGTCTGCGTGAAACCCGTTAGTAAATAAAATGAATTTATTTTAATAATTATTTTCTCACCTGGAACTTCTTTAATTTGCCAAAAAAAAAGATTTGTACTATAATAGTCTTCTCTGACAAACCATATCACCAGAAATTATTTGATTGAGAGTAGTAAGCAGAAAATAAAACGAATGTAACTTTTGAAAAAAGATTTTTTTTGCAACACTGGTTATCAACCGACTATCGTGAAGAAGTATAAAATTACTACACCATCTGCGTCTGTCATCTGTCGGTAACTTCAAAGAAAATTCTCGAGAGGTAGAGAAAATATTTACTGTTTAACTATGAAGTCTCAAAGCCACAAAAAATTCGAAATTACTAGTGTGACGATGAGTAACGCACAGATAACTTAGAAGTACACTGTTCACAGATCATATAAAGGGTTTTGAACGTATCAGTCACAATCTGTCAGAAGTCTCCGTTGAAGCTTGTAAGAAATATCCGGTGCAGACCTCAGTAAAAGTAAGGGTACGAAATATGAATGGTTCGACACACAATTATGAAGATTCTTAGAGTGCGGTCCACTCCAATGCAGCGCCATCGTAGACAAACGAAAAACAGGTCTTGTCATTTTGTTAAGATTCGTACTACCTGATTTAATATTACCGATAAATTAAAACAAGAAAGCTGAAATTGTTAAAGAAGACGACTATTCTGAAATGTCATGAAGTTCTGAAAAGTGCTTAGTGATACGGAATCAGTTGACAAATAACTAATCAGTCTTAGTTGCCTAAAGTAGTTACCGCAATAACAGATTTTTCGCCGCACAATTCTTTTGCATTTGTTATGCTGATTGAAATTTTACTACTTCAATACTACAAAACTTTACTGTTTTGCAAATTACTACACAGATTTCTAGCATTCTCTTCTAAGACTTTCTAAGACATCTTGAGAATTGTCAGATTGCTTGGACTTTTTTTCAGAACGCCGTTGTCCACGCGTACCTACTACATTTCTTGGTACACCACTCATTACCACTTATTACTGAGAGCGTTGGTCTACCTCGTGTTT